ATGCTGCAATGTTTCCTTGCGTTGGGAAAAAAGGAACAGGCGGGCCGGCGGCTAGGATCCTTTTATGGTGCTCGATATCTTGACCTTTAGCGACAGAGAAAGTGATAGGCGATGACCAGATAACCGACAAAGAAGCGACTGGACTCATCTAAACAGCTTCGAATATTTTTCCCTTAGGCAATGTCGCTGGGTTAAGGAAGCTTATCGTTCCATCTGGTGCACTTTCAGTGACATGGACCACTAGAGTTTGGATTTTGGTTGCCATCTTGATTGTCAGTGTTAAAGCTGATTATGGGCGTTGAGGATAATCGTGAAGACGAAATAATGGATGTGAGATACTAGAATATAGGTAATAGAGGATTCATTTATATAAAGGGAATGCAACCCAGAAAAGTAACCCCAATATCACGGGACATTTTTGTACTTATGACCCTAGTAGTCTAGGCACAGACTGTAGCGCCTTTTCGCGGCAGATCAGCGCGCGGAATGGAAATAAACTTTGAGTGTAGCGCCAAATTTGTCCTGTAGCGTCATATTTATTGTAGCGCCAAATGTTCTGTGGCTTAGCCTCGTGGTAACATAATATAGCCTCGCCTCGACCTTTTGAACGATTGACTCTTCCATCCTAGCTGATCCTTCCAAGACTCGACTTCACGGGTACGCGGTTATCTCATCTTCCCTTTGCATCATGATCTCCTCTTCTCAGCTTCGCAGCTACAATCTTACGATAAGCGCTCCTAAAAACGCGTTGATTTGTACGCTATGTCAACGCGCCCTACGTGTTGATCCGAGGTCTGTCTGGCAGCATCTTTCTCAGGTTCACTCGATCGACAGCTCGCGTCGGTCCCAGTTGGAAAACCTCACGACACTCGATCTCACGGATATCTCTTAACTGACGCCTCGAAACGATCTATCCCAAGAGGATACAGCCCTGGCCACGGTTTCTGGATTCGCGTGTGGCCACTGCTCGACCCGGACAACCAGCCAACAGCTTCTAGGGCGATATCTCTCCGCCCACCATCGCATAAAACAGTCCGATGCCACTGACGGTCAAGATTATCGATGTGTCCTCCTACAGCGGTGGGCCATTGCCGGCCCAAGAGCATGGCAATACTGGATCGTCACTTCCATTAGCAGTGTGGCGCCTTCAATGAACCCTGTTTCTCGCAAGCGAAAGCGTTTCCAAGTCAGCCACCAGAAGCCGTCCTGACCAAGAATAATGGGTGCCGTGGACGCGCGAACCTGGCTACAGTCCTTCCCTCCTCCACCGTCGACTCTCCTCTTCACGATTCATCAGGAGGAAAAAGAACGGATCGCGTCCTCTCACTCAACATTTAATCTACGGTCGCAAAGCGAGTCAGACCTCACTCCCTAGTTCGAGCGGACAGGCTGGATCGCGACTTACGCTCACCTTCCTCGAGAGACCCTCTTCCGGATGACCCAGCTACCGACTCGACGAACGCGAGGAGAAGGTTTCGCGTTAGGTGAGCTCCCTTCAAGCCATAAATTTTCTGCATCTCAGGGAGTCGAAATCCGCAGTTCATGTGGAGACGAGACTCGCATTTATTCAGTTCTGGCTATCATCAATAGTATCTTTGACCGATGTGAAGATACTGTTCGCGCGACACCGCATGCCTTTCTCTACTGGTTACAAAGTCGAGAGCCCGACCAAGCGTTTAAGCGGCCCTTTCAATTAGTTCTTCGTGACTCAACTCGACGGAGATACCGACAATACTGGAAGAGATGTCTCGTATTCTGTCTTCGCTATATACGACTCTCGAACACTACCCAATCCAGTCTGGGTATTTCAATCACAAGCGATCAGCGAGGTCTTATATTAAGGATATGGGATCAAATGGCAGCTCAAGATCCAGGTCACCCTTCTTGGGAAGATAGTACTATGGAGGATCAAGATAAGGATCAAGATGAGGATCAAGACAAGGATCAAGACGAGGATTAAGACGAGAATGAGGGGGCCAAAGAAGACATTAAAGATATTGAAGACAATAAAGAAATAGATGAAGATAATTACTTCTCTAAAGGAGAAGATTATCTAACTGTCGGGCCTAATATCTTAGACAATTTTGACAACACTGTCGGCCCTTAATCATTAGGTTTAGATGATACCTAATCTCACCCACCTTCTCTTTCTGACCTGGTCTTTCAACTAAGTGTCTCACTCTGCACACAGGAATACACTAATGGCCGCCCTCAGTTCATCACTCTAGTCTTCCTCAGCGGTGTCTTAGGTTTCATGGCAGGAGAGTAAGGATACCACCATCCGCGAGCGTACACACAGACCCTTACTGCGTTAATCCACCAGCAAACTCTCCTTCTCCTCGAATCGACACTTCCTATATTCAGCTACCCCGGCTTAGGGATCTCGGCTCGACCGCGACGAGAACAGCTTGTCCATCTTCAAGCAATGCGGCGACGATATACTTATGGCGAGTGCCTCACCTCCCTCCTCGAGTTCACTAGTCTCCTGGCCTTCGGTCGTCACTTCCTCGACTCTGAAGGACCGACATTCTTCTTTCATTGGAGTGATGACGGTCAAACTCTGTCATTCGCGGAGTATCAGCTGTCATTGTAGTCATTTCGGTCTTTTACACATGGCCTTGTTAACCAGGCTTCGACTCTTCATCGCCAGCTCATGTATAATTGGTCTCCCTCTTACGATCTCTATTCCATTCGGGACCTCATCAGCCACATGACGCCAGGATATTCCTTCGTTCAAGAAGCACAGAATGGTCTTCGTGGCGCCTACCTACATCTCTCTACCCATGCCTATCAACAGGGGCTTATTGAGCACAACCGATGGGTCTATGTCGCGGTCTGGAAGTATCTTCGACTTCATGAAGACTTCCTTATCCTTCTCTTTTAGCTGTTCTTTATCTGCAGTGGCCAGTCTCCCCGTATCCACGATCTAACGAGCCTCGAAGCCTGGAACGGGCCGACTAACGCCCGTGGGATCTATGTTTATGGGGGATCGGTCCTCTCCATCAGCCGTGTATCCAAAAGTCAGCGTATCACCCATTGTGAGTTTTACGCCGCTCGCTTTCTTCCCCCCTCCGTTGGTCAGCTGGTCTACTACTACATGGTCTTTATCCAGCCATTTGTCAACCTCCTCCTCCGCCAATGTCTTGGCCACAGCACCACGAGTCATCTATTCGCTTCCAACTCTTTCATTGCCCACCAATCTCTTCCTCACCCTTGGACAGCCGGCGACATGACTTGATGGCTTCGCCAAACAAGTCAACCCATCCTTCGCGTTCTCCTCGGTGTCTAGCTCTATCGACAGACCACCATCGCCATGACCGAAAAGCATCTGCGACATATAATCTAGCCAACGAATATATATCGTGACGTCGGCCCTCAGGCTTCTTCATGCCGCGTTCTCGCTTGGCAGAGTGGACACTGACCACTTCAACATGCCGTCAATTATGGCATCGACGCTGATTTCCCTAGTAGGCTGCAACCTACTCTCCTAGAGCGATACCGCCAAGCCTCCCGGCAGTGACACGAGTTCCTCGAGCTTATCCCGACTCCCAGTCAAGTGCCGCTCCAAGAAGTCCGTGTAAACATACAGTCTGATCATACACGATTTCCTCCGGTGGCACCCACTGTACACCCAGCGCCAGCTCCCTCAAGAGACTCTCGCGCTCCCTCTGACCATACTGCAGCTATGGTTCTTTCTCAGCCAAAACTACCTATACCTCGTGATCCTTGTATCACTATACTACCTCCCAAATCTACAACGACCTTGAATGATATGATTATATCTGAAGACCCCATTTTATATAACGAGGCGTATCAGATCTTTATCTGTCGACGCCACAGCTATGCGATCACTAACCTCAGCACTTATCTAAGAAATCAGCATCAGGAGCTTTCGCTATCTTTACATCGACAACTTATAGAGAAACATCAGCACCAAGTTATCGTTCAGATAGAGGAGGTTCTAACCCCCCCTCCTAACTCTCCACCCATTGAGGGACTCAGTGCACCTATTCCTGCATTTCAGTGTAACCATCCTCGCTGTGAGTGGGTGAGTTCTCATTCAAAGAGCATGGAACAACATGCTAGAGAGCAGCATCATTGGAGAGTATCACAAGGACGAACACATTAGACTCCAGTTTTTGCGCAGACATGATGGACATCGGGTGGTAAGCGTAGATATTTCAGAGTTCAGGTGTTGGATGATTATCAAGTCTCAGCGTATATACATTTAAGAGCGACACATTAATTATATAAGTAGATTTTAATTTAAATATATCTTCTACTACTGATTGAATAACTACTATTAGAATTAAACTACGAATAAGGTTAGTATACTAGTACAGTACATAACCGCGTAACTACTTCATATCTTCGATTATTATACTATAACTACAATACTACACGATCAATACCGTCTATTGATCTATACCACTCATGGGTACACTATATTATCTCTCGAGTCACATCTTCGAAATGAGCATCGAGATCTTAGTCTTCAGCAACGAAAAGAGATTCTTTCTGCCCATAAGGGCCAAGTCTATGCTAGACCAGACGAGATAAATATACCATCACCACATCAACCACCCATTGACGGTCTCGCATCACCGATTCCAGCGTTTCTTTGTGCGGCGCAATTCTGTGGCAATGTTAGTAGCAATATTAAAACCATTGAACAACACGCTCGTCATCACCATCAATGGAAAAAGACAACACAACAACCGGTTTTTTGGAGTCAGGTTCAAGCGCAAACTTTTTTCGTTTCTCGAGGACTCCGAAAATACTTTGTTGTGCGCTCAGTCTCAAATTCTTTACCCCATACTACATCGACATCCGGTCCATCTAGTGTCCGGACCGCACGAGAAATCCACGGCCACGAAGTTCGGCAGTCATCTAGTTCAAATCCGACTGATGTTGTCCCGCCCGCTGGTGACAATGCTCGAACAATTATGCAGTGTCTCCAGGAGAAAAGAGCCGTGCTTGATACCGTCCATGAAACCAAAATGCAACGACTCGAGATAGGGTTGTTGAAACAAGATCGCACCGGTTGGTACAATCGAACCAAATGGCAAGATCATTTCCACGGTCGCAATCTTGTGTATCTTGCGTGGGCGACTCGAATGCCGGAGAAGAACGAGCCAGTACTACAAGAGATCTTGAATGTGTTTGATAGACTTGCCGTCTGGTCGGCTGATAGTGTTACTACACTCGATCATGAGTCACGACGTTGGTTACGCAGTGAACAGGCGACCGTGATTTCCGCCCGACCATTCAATCGACTTCAAAATGCCGACAGTGAGGATCGATACTTCATGTACATTCGACGATTTATCTGTTATACTTGTCGAGTATGGGACTCCGAGATTCAGACCCGAAGGCGTACACATTCTACTCAATCCCCTCAATGTACGAACGACGATGAAACCAGCAATCCGCAATCTTCTACAACTATATCTAATCCAATGTTTAATCATATACAAACTAATATCTTTTCAGTCAGGAGATCTCGAACACTATATCAAGAGATAGACTCTGACAATACTACTAATAATAATGATAACGACGATAACGACGACGATGATGATGACGATAATAACGACGATAATGATGACAATAACGACGATAATGATGACAATAACGACGATAATGATGACAATAACGACGATAATGATGACAATAACGACGACGATGATGATAACGATAACGATGATGATGACGATAACGATGATGATGACGATAACGATGATGATGACGATAACGATGATGATGACGATAACGATGATGATGATGATAACAACAACAATAATAATGATGATGACAACAATAATAATAATCATGACGATAATAACGAACAACTATCCAGATCATGTACACCAAACACAGAGAGAAGTAACGATGACACAACAGAAGACATTATGAAAGATGCGCGTGAGCTATTCCCATGGACTGATAACCAGTTTCAAGCAACCACGAACATGGTGAATTCCGTATGTACATTTAAGGATGATGAAGCTCGAGGTCGTCAAGTTACAGACTCGAGTAAGACCGAGGCGGTTCAATTATTTCTTCAGCAATTTATCTTTCATCATGTCGGTGGCGAGCCGTT